TTCAGAAGTTTTATACAGGAGGGACTTAGGGAGTGGCAGTCTGGATGGAAGAGGGGGCTAGACGACTTGTCTTGAAGCAATGTTGTTATTTTTGAGAGTGGAGGGGGCTTTGGGAGGCTAATGAAATTTTTTCAACGGGCTTCAATCTCCCCTTGGTGCCACCCCTGAATGATAATCACATTGGAACAGTTAACAACCCACAAATTAGAGATAAATCTTAGGACTACTCTTTGGTCTAATCTGTGGCATTATGGAATCATGACTGACGGTGGGTCAGGACGGACCGGAAAATCACAAGATTTAACTCCAATAGATGGGTTATTGTTGCTTCTAGAAATATAGTTAACTTCATCTCTTACTGGACATACAAGCGCAGATTACACATGAAATTATTATACAAACTGGAAATGTTAAAAACATGCTATGTATGTCTAACTGAACATTAAAGAATCATGTAAAAATGGAATTGTTAAACTGTAAATGTTTCGGTTTTGAATAATCTTGAAATATATAATGGCACATTTCCATTTCAAATGAACAAAAGAAAATATTTTTGCAAACTGATAAGACCAATCAAATGCTGTATATTATCTGATTTTTTTTTTTTTTCAACAAGTCGGCCGTCTCCCACCGAGGCAGGGTGACCCAAAAAAGAAAGAAAATCCCCAAAAAGAAAATACTTTCATCATCATTCAACACTTTCACCACACGCACACATTATCACTGCTTTTGCAGAGGTGCTCAGAATACAACAGTTTAGAAGCATATACATATAAAGATACACAACATATCCCTCCAAACTGCCAATATCCCAAACCCCTCCTTTAAAGTGCAGGCATTATACTTCCCATTTCCAGGACTCAAGTCCGACTATATGAAAATAACCGGTTTCCCTGAATCCCTTCACTAAATATTACCCTGCTCACACTCCAACAGATCGTCAGGTCCCAAGTATCATTCGTCTCCATTCACTCCTATCTAACACGCTCATGCACGCTTGCTGGAAGTCCAAGCCCCTCGCCCACAAAACCTCCTTTACCCCCTCTTTCCAACCCTTTCGAGGACGACCCCTACCCCTCTTTCCTTCCCCTATAGATTTATATGCTTTCCATGTCATTCTACTTTGATCCATTCTCTCTAAATGACCAAACCACCTCAACAACCCCTCTGACTAATGCTTTTATTAACTCCACACCTTCTCCTAATTTCCACACTCCGAATTTTCTGCATAATATTTACACCACACATTCCCCTTAGACAGGACATCTCCACTGCCTCCAACCGTCTCCTTGCTGCTGCATTTACCACCCAAGCTTCACATCCATATAAGAGTGTTGGTACTACTATACTTTCATACATTCCCTTCTTTGCCTCCATAGGTAACGTTTTTTGACTCCACATATACCTCAACGCACCACTCGCCTTTTTTCCCTCATCAATTCTATGATTAACCTCATCCTTCATAAATCCATCCGCCGACACGTCAACTCCCAAGTATCTGAAAACATTCACTTCTTCCATACTCCTCCTCCCCAATTTGATATCCAATTTTTCTTTATCTAAATCATTTGATACCCTCATCACCTTACTCTTTTCTATGTTCACTTTCAACTTTCTACCTTTACACACATTCTCAAACTCATCCACTAACCTTTGCAATTTTTCTTTAGAATCTCCCATAAGCACAGTATCATCTGCAAAAAGTAACTGTCAATTCCCATTTTGAATTTGATTCCCCATAATTTAATCCCACCCCTCTCCCGAACACCCTAGCATTTACTTCTTTTACAACCCCATCTATAAATATATTAAACAACCATGGTGACATTACACATCCCTGTCTAAGACCTACTTTTACCGGGAAGTATTCTCCCTCTCTTCTACACACCCTAACCTGAGCCTCACTATCCTCATAAAAGCTCTTTACAGCATTTAGTAACTTACCACCTATTCCATAAACTTGCAACATCCGCCACATTGCTCCTCTATCCACTCTATCATATGCCTTTTCTAAATCCATAAATGCAATAAAAACTTCCCTACCTTTATCCAAATACTGTTCACATATATGCTTCAATGTAAACACTTGATCTACACATCCCCTACCCACTCTGAAGCCTCCTTGCTCATCCGCAATTCTACATTCTGATTTACATGGATAATTATTAAAAAAAAAATTATTCCTTATTAGATTTTTTAAATATGTATAAAGAAAAATTTAAACTCGCAAGAAGGGACGCTGTGAGTGTAGTATCTGTCATTTCAGAAAGCAGAGAAGGCAATGTTCAAAGATCATTAATCAATAATTTAAAAATTTCTGCAGGAATATTTACATAATTTTCACATACTTAGCAATACCTTATCAGTCTACTCCATAATTTTCTATTTATAAAGGTTACAAAGGTATCAGTGCTTAACTATAATAGTAGTTAATTTTGCACCAGACCTCCTAAATAATGAAATTTGCTGACAGCAAACTGGTTACACAAGTGTTAACATTACCAGGGCACCATCCTATGGGTACTGTCACCAGAATAAACTTACTCAGTATGTTAAAATTAAACAAAACCCTTGTGACTGGGCTTTAACCTACCATTTTGTACCTTATCATTTAAATAATGTGAATGTAACCATTAATCAGTGATATATGAACATTCCTTTTAATTTTCATTACTAGCCAATTTTAGTAAGTTCACAAATTTTAGGTGCAGTTGCAAATAGACCTAGAATCAGTCATTGTTAAAGGGTAAGGGGAAGGGGTGGAGAGGGGAACAATCAGCCACAGATCAGATTTCCAGAAATTTTTTTTTTTTTTTTAAGTAATAACCTTAAATAAGTCAGCCAAGTTATGAAGTTGATATTTAAAGGCCACTGGTTCAGCTCCCAGTATTCTTTACACAATATGTCACTTTCACGATACAGTGGACAACTGATTTCATACTATAACCACGAGGTCCATGTAGTGTCGAGAGCTCTATATAAAAGTAGGTTGAGCAATGGTATGGGCAATCTACAGAATTCTTCTCAACACTCCATGGCTAAATCTGTATAACTGAAACTTGCAAAATACAAGGCAGCAAGTAGATAGTCCCCGGTATACATTATGCAGTTTCTCACTTTCCTAATACGAGGAAGTTCTCCTATCGTTTACGGCTATCTCATCGCCCTTGAAAGTGTGACAGAAGGCACGCCTAGCCACAAGGTTTCCTGCAGTGATATTGTTGTCTGATCACCTCTGCCTCTTCCTCACTAGTTGTTATTGTCAAAGATTATACTTTGCCAACACCTGCATTTATATCAAAGAGAAAATAAAATAAAAAAAAATTTTTTTAATTGTTACATGTATTTGATGGTACTCACAGAAGTGGTGTGGTGTTCATATTTTTGATTTACACTAATGTAAATATACCTACACAATTCAGAATGCTCAGATTATCATACACAAGGGACTTGCCAGGAGTGTATTATTTTTAAAGTTATACAGTGGTACCCCGAGTTTCGAACTGCTCCCAACTCGAACAATTATGTAAGTGTATTTGTGCAAGTGTGTTTGTAAAGTGTATTTTTGGGGGTCTGAAACGGACTAATCTAAGTCACATTATTCCTTATGGGAACAAATTCGTTCGGTATTGGCACTCGAACAGCATTCTGGAATGAAATAAGTTCGAAACTCTGGGTACCACTGTATTCTGATTATTGTAAAATTTTCAAAATTAATGTAACAAAATGCCTCTCTTAAGGATTAGTTTTTTGAAGTTTCAAAAAAATTATTATTCAAGGTTTCACTTTAAGCACAAAGACAGTTTGGCAACAGACAACACTAGCACCAAAGTATCTGCGTAACTTTGCATTGCAGTACCTGCTTTGAACCGGCAAGCAAACTTAATCTACAGATGATGTTTAAAGGTAATGGAAATAAGCGTCTGCACTGCAAAGTACACAAACACTGTACATGGAGATTCCAATGCTGCAACAGTACAGATCCTGTTAACATTTCAGATTCATAATATCTTTTATGAAAAGATACTGAATACGAGAGTCATTTAATGTCGTGCAGAATTCACAAAAAAAATATTTGGTCAAAATAGTCTTAATATACAGTGCACTACCATGCACTATATTTTTGTTTTAGACTTAAGATCAAAGTAACATTAAGTGCATGATGCCTTTTTTATGCACCATCGATAACTCAAAAATATTACCTTGGGGAAAGTGACTATGTTGATGAGAGGCTCTTGATCTGGGAAATGGGAGCTTGGCTCAAACCTGTATGGATCATATAGCTCAACAGTGAATTGGATTGTAAGGGTATGAATGAGTGGAGGTGAGGGTTCATGAGGTGTAAAATTAACACATATGGTACAATAAGTTAGTTTCTGATCAAACTTCATGTAAGGAAACTGCATTAAAATGTGGAATTTTGGGCGAGAAGAGCAGAGAATTAGCACATCAGGGCACTGAAGATGTTAAAACTGAATTTTCTGTGCTCAGTGATAGAGCAGTCCATTAATAATTCAGTGAAATGATAAGACTTCTTGCCAGTCAATGCAGAGGGGCACTGGGCATCTCTGGATATGATTGTATGTAGGCCATGAATGTCACATTTGTGATTAGGTGAGCACTTTCTCCACACCCAACAGCAACAAAAAGAACATGCCAAGGAATGTGATTGTGATTTGGCAGAAAGTAATTTTTGTTGTTGTTTAATTTAATCAAATGCTATTGTCAGTAGTTTCCAAGTCAAAGGGGGTACTGATATAATACAGTAGTTTGAAAAAGGGACCTCCCTGTGGGATATTGGCAGAAAATGAATAGCCGACCAAGAAGCAAGTCTCAAGTGTTCATTGCCCTAAAGGTGTGCGTGTCCAGGAATCTGTTAGTTTATTGGCCTGGTCAGCACCATTAACTTGGATGATGTGCATCCCTGTTTTAGAGGGTGGAACATGTCAGACAATGCATGTCAAGAGTTCTTGTGCAAGGAGGTGGTCATTCAGGTGTGCTTTTGGATTTTTTTTTTTTTTTTTTTTTTCAGTGAAAAACTCTCCAAGCGGTTTCTTGAAATGTGATGGGGTAAAGTTTGTCATGAATGTTTTTTCTGTCATTGTGTTTTGGTAGATGGCTTAGAGCCACTGTCTGCTGATGCTTGAACTATCAATCATTACATTAAGGAAAAAGCCGATTCCATGGTCAAGGTAAGGTGAAGTCTGAGAGAATGCTAGAACCAGATTTGAGCAACAGAGGATTACCCAAAATCATTTCCAAGTTCTAAGGAAAGTATTACCATGCAAGGGTCAGGGAGAGGGTATTGTCATCACTAAGGATCTAGGAGAATTGCGGTCTCTTGTATATCAAAGAAAAAAAAAGAAAGGGTCAGTTCTGAGAATAAACAAAAAAGAAACCACATGCCCACCCTTAACCATGGCCACCTCCACTGCAACAGATACAGTTGCTGTTACCTGGAAACCTCCTCTTACCCTACCTGGTGTTTGACACCAGGATAGCATCCCAGAACATGAGTTAGACTTAGCACAACCAACTGTCTAGATACAAGAACTAACCATGCAATCGTTTTTCAGCTAATAATAGTGACAGGCGAACTGGAATGAACTCCAAGAGTCGTACACTGTCAATTGCAAGCAAACTCCAGTAATATCTTCCATTACCAGAGGTCCTGCTAGATGGTCACCCAATATCTCACTAGAGGGTCACCTGACCTGCCTCAAGATCTAATTTCTATCGGATGGAGTGATAACCACTGCAGCACTAACAATTGAACTTATATGAAAACAGAGCAGTTAATAAAGCCCTTTTACTACTGTTTTGAAACTGCATTTCATAAAAGGTAGAAATTTCCTCACCAAAGAGGCCCAAATTGAGAGGGAAAGGGAAGGTTAGAGTATATTTAAATTTTATATGAGGAAGGGGGCAGGTGGTCCAATTCTTCAGATCAAGAACCCCTTCACCAATACAAGGGACCCCTCCTTGAAGGAAATATGATTATAATAATAAATCATAATAATAATAATAATAAAAATAATAATAATTATAACAATAACACATGAGCAATCTAAAAGCTGCTGTAAATTCCCATAAAAAATCATTAAAATATTCTGTTCTTTTTTTCTCAAGTTCCATATAATTTGATAGAATCCTGGACATAATTCCCTAAAGGTGAATATTCATCAGATGTCATTAACATCCTCGTTCTTGCTCATGGTTCGTCATGTCTAGGAACTTCATATTTCAACTATGCTTGCTATTTAACGTTTTCTACACTACAGCATAGTGTTTAATTGCATTGAAAAAATAAATAAATAAAAATTGCACAATAAAGTCACAGCCACAATACTTTTCATTTATGTAGGCCAACTGGTTTGAAAGCTTGTAAACTACAACATTAGAGAAATAGCATGTAATACCGACAGGATGTAGAAAAAGACACGTACGGCTCAGGATATATATATTAAAGGAAATGTTTTGCCACTTATAACAAAACATTTCCTCTAATAAATGTCCTGAACTGTACACAAGCCTTTTTCATAACATTAGCCTAATAGTGTAGTGAAGTACATAACTGGCACTTGGAGAGGCACATTTTTAAACAATCAGATATGTTTCCTTTAAAGCCATCTTTAACAATACCACAATCTTGAGAGCCAAACCTCAGCTCCAATTCAAAACTAAAGAACAAATTAAAAAAAAAAGGGTTTCACACAAATCTTTCACAAATTATTTATATCCCTTATTAATACTTGGGTTATACTATAACCGAAGAGAATAAGGTAAAAGTACACCTTATAAATGCCTCTCAGATTTTATGGTAATATATAAGTGAAAAAATATAACTTTAGCAGCTGCAAGCTACCTCAACACATTACTTCACTGAAATTTATAGGCTGAAACTTTCCCTCAACCTCTCTAAACCAGTTGGCTTTTTACCTCCTCTACTTCGCAAACATCCTGCTTAAAACTATTGCACAACTCTTTCCTTGCACAAGCAGCACACTCATTTTTACACACACACACATTCAAAACTCACTGAATGCCAAGCATTCACAAACACTTGATAATTGAAGACACAGCTAATGATAAGATGCATTAATTAAGGAGGTTCTGTGTCTGTTCTTCTTCTGGATCTTCGGGGGTACTCAAACTGCGGCTACTGCTGGTGCTCTCCTGGTCCTCAGCCTCCCCTGTGGACCACACTTAATTATCACCTTATACGGCTCCACTGCCTCGTTATCACCACCTAACTTGAGCTGTTTATCTATTAAGAATCTTAAACTTGAGAGAATTCTAGCTTACAGCTCCACTAACAGTTACTTAACTTTTATGGATACAATTTCTTAATCCAGAATTCCAAGGTTCTATATTTTATAAATGAAATGCCTGACTAATTTACAAGTACGTACTTTTATCCTTGTACAATATATGAAACTATTTTGTCAATATGATACAGATCACAATAAACTCAATAATGAAGAAACCAAATTAATTTTGATTACAATGATCTCAAAGTAATAAGGGTATATGTTCAACAATGCATTTAGGAATAAAGCTTAAGTGTTAATACAATAGGTATTTTTTTTAACACTGTCTCCTAACAAGGTATTAAATTTAGCAAATTGCATCCTGACTGTTTACAACTATTAAGTAACAGAAGTTTGAAAATAGCTAACAAGTTTATTATAGCTTAGTAATTAGCTATTTCCATTCCTTAGTATTTATGAGTGTAAGCATCAGGATTAGAGCATTAATAATTTATTATTACTAGCTTAAACAGCAGTTCAGTGAAACTAGCAAATGAGCATTTCAAAAAATCATGCAGTGAGTGAATTTAACCAAACACAGTAAAGCATGCTTAAAAAAAGCACTATCCAACTACACCATTTCAGTAGCACTGCCAGGGAATCTTAATTGATTACAAGGTCCTGATCCACCAGGAGGTCTGGTCAAAGACTGGGCCTTGGGGGTACTGACCTCCCAGAACACCCTCCAGGTAGACTTCAGGTAGGTCTTGCTAGCCCATTTAGTAAATAATCACTTCCCTCCTGACAGCCTTGACAGGTAAGGATAGGAGAGAGGCGATTATAAGTTTACTGACTGTAATAAATTATTAGTGACCACTTTGAATCACTTTTACTCCATGGATAATTATCTTGCGTGACTTTCACATGTGATATTTTAGTGTACGAGGATTAATTCACTGGGGAGCGCTACACCCATAAGGGCCACACTGCACCTGGGAAAAGGAAGGTAATCAGATTTGATCTGAAGAAATGGAGGGCAGCTCCAATTCATTAGATCAGGAGCTTTTCACTTGAAGGGTTACCGCAGAAAAAAAAAAAAATCCCATCATACATACCAAAATCCCCTCCACTTCTGGAGGACATTTTGATATTTTACTGTATACAAGTCCAACACTTCTCTATGGGGAAGTGGAACAGAATTTTTCCTCCGTAAGCCATGTGTGTCAAAAGAGGCGACTAAAATGCCGGGAGCAAGGGTCTAGTAACCCCATCTGCATAAATTACTAAGTTTTAAAAGAAACTTCATTTTTCTGTTTAGGTCACGCTGCCTCAGTGGGATATGGCCAGTTTGTTGGGGGGGGGGGGGGGGGATCTCCAACACTTTCCTTATAACATGGAAGTCACAGGTATTACTTGCTAATTTGGATTTTGCTATGATCATAGAACTGCATCCTTCCTCATACCAAAGTTTAACTATTTCAAAGGTAATATACTTTACAGTGTACCCCAAAAATTGTAAAAATATAAACCGAGGTTAGAAGATAAACCACAGTGCAAGAGCATGGAACATGCAAGGAGGGGAGGGGGGCAAAACCCAGTGTTATAAAGCAGATGCACAACTTTTTCATAAAAAAAAAAATAGTGTCAAGTTTACACACCAAGAGTGTACACGAAAGGTGCTTACCATGACAATTTGGGGGTAGTTTAATATTTTTTTTTACACAAGATCTCAAGGGCTACAAATGAACCACTTAAGTGTCACAGGGGGGTAAAGGAAGGTGGGTACAGCCCTGCTCTAAAGCAATATGGAAGGAAACATGCAGGGAAGTAAGGCCCTAGAGGCTGTAATACCAGTCTAACAGACTTGTCCTGCTTGCAGCTCATGTCAAAACAGTTAAAAATATATTTTTTGGATATTCTCTACTGATTTACTAGACAATACACTTTTCTACTGCTTCAGTTTCTCTTGCAAATCTTAATAACAGTGTCATCACAGATGGTGAAAAATCAAAGAATAAAAATGAAACAGTGGGAAACTGTCGACGTTAAAAAAAATTAAATTATATTGGACATGCACAAATAACCCACACATAGGACACAGAAGCTCATGATGATGTTACAAGCTCTTTTCTACTATGTGCAGGTTATGTGTGTATTGTTTCAGTCATGGTATTGTGCCTTTTAGTTCTTTACACTGAACATATCCTGTGTAGGGGCTTGACCTTAACAGGCTACCCCCCCCCCCCCACTTCCTTCTTTAATTTAATCAGTCACTGAGTCTCTGCTCAAGATAAAATATTGTCTTGTAATTTTTTTTGTTTTTTTTTTTTTAACTATTTCCTCCCATGGAATTCAAATACTGTATTTGTTAATACTGTATGCAAAGGAGTTATTAAGAATCTGATAATGTTCAAGGAAAGTGTCCACAGAAGGAGTTTCTTCGTAGCTGAGACTGTCGATTGAATGATTTGAACTTGATACAAGTCTTGTATAGTAAATCAATGAATAGTAGTATGATGCCGGTATAGCTCACTCAAACAGAATGAAGAATTTTGCAAGACATCTAAAAAAAGAGTTAATGAAGAGTGAACAGTATCAACATTCAAATATATACAAGGTAAACAAGCCTTTATTTCTTTGAGTGTAGTGAACTGAAGAAGACGATTGGTATGGTGCCTATTCATCCCAGTAAGACAAAAGTTGGTGATGAATGTATATTATAGCACGTGCTATAGTGTGTAAAAAAAGGTAACTTATCTTTAAGAGATTCAAATAAAGTAGCAAGCCTGAGTTCTGGAGTAGTCTTCAGAGAGCAATCCACGTGTTAAGTGTGCCTTACTTCTGAAATGTTTAAAGACTAAATTTGCACTGGCAATTCTACTGTTTATTGAGCATTCTATTCGAGGCCAAGATATTAAAGAACCTGACTAATTCCAAAAAGTTTTTCACATGCTTTTGTTTCATTAATCAAAAGGATGCAGCTAAAAAAAAAAATCACAATTCTACATGTTAAAAATTGAAACAGGATATTTTTCGGATCTGCCTGGAAGTATCAGGTCATACATGCACTATTACATCCATTATTCATACGTCACACCACTTTGAATTTATTAAAGATTTTTTAAGCAAAAACATCATGCAAGACAAATATTTTCTGCATGTTACGATCAAATCACAATTATTAAAACACAACGTTATTATTATTAAAGCACAACGTTTTTTTCTATTTTGGGTCATAATACCTTTGGTGCAAAATGACTCAAAAGAGAGATCTTTCACCATCATACAACAGACGTTCTTATTCCCAAAGAAAAACTGATACAAGAATATTCTCCGAGTAAACAAAGAAGGCAAAACAAACATTATCATGCAAAGCAGTTGTAAAAAATGAATAGGCACATAAAAAGTTAAATGCTACAATTAGTATTTAGTACACACACAAGCAAGTAATCAGTTCATGCATAGTACAATACTTGAAGGATAACAAGCCTGTGCCAGTACAGTTTCTATTCATCATCGGAAACTAATTTTGCTTACCTGCAATAGCACGATCACACCTCTCCTTGTCGGATGTTATGTAACAAGCATTCCAGAAGAAGAATAACGCACCCATGACATTGATGATCACACACAGGAACATTGCATACTGTTTTGACTGAAAAAATAAAATATACTTCAATATTCGTGTCTATTAATTTTTTTCAAACTGGCCGTATCCTACCTAGGCAAGGTGATCTAAAAGGAAAAAAAGCTTTTAAAATTTAGTAATTTATACAGAAGAGGTTACTAGCCCTTTGCTCCAGGTATTTTAATCGCCTCCTATGACATGCATGGCATACGGAGAAAGGATTCTTCTCCACTTCCCCATGGAGAACATATGAAATGTGACTATAAATTTGCACTATTTTCTATATAAACAATTTGTTTACAAGTTAAAAAAAGGGACTAGGAACTTTAGTAGTTACAAGACATATAGGCACTGACTCTTACAACTACCTCTCTTCAGCCTTAATAAACATGAAAACTAGCATATAAAACTAAAATTGAAGCAAACTTTAACAAGTATTTAAAAATATGCCATCTCACCTTGAATTCTACATAATAATCCTCTAAATCTCCTGAAGAAGTTGTAGCTGTAACATTCAAGAATCCCTCTGTAACAGTTGAGAATCCCTCTGTAACAGTTGAGAATCCCTCTGTAACATTCCAGAAGCCCATTTCTGTAGTACTAATGAAAGGGGCAACTGTAGTTGTGACATTTCGATCATGAATGTATGGTTTGAAGGCATCAGCTACCTGGAAAACAAAATGAATTTTATGTAATCTATTTCCCCTAATGCAAACATGTCTTACAAGATCCTTAATTAATAAGATATATTAATTAATACAACAGCATGAAAATCAATAACAATACTGATCACTATTTCTAACATTAAAATACAATACCTTCAGGAATAACTAAAGTCAATTGATTTTCTGTTAAATGTACCATGTAATACCTTACTGTTAATAAAATTTACATAAAAGGTTAACAAAATCTGAACCAATAACAAGACTGAATGAAGTCATATCAAGTACATTTTTATTTCAAGGTTTTCTTGAAAAAGAAACTAGTAAGGAAAGAAAGTTTTATCATGTGGCAAGGAAGAAAGTTTTATCATGTGGCAAGGAAGAAAGTTTTATCATGTGGCAAGGAAGAAAGTTTTACTACATGGCAAGGAAGAAAGTTTTACTACATGGCAAGGAAGAAAGTTTTACTACATGGCAAGGAAGAAAGTTTTACTACATGGCAAGGAAGAAAGTTTTTATCCTTCCTCAGACTCCCCTTAACCTGAACAAGTGCAACATTTGGGTATCTGTTCTATGGAAACCTTTCTGCCAGTCAGTGGCTTCTTCAGTCCAATACAGAGAAAGGTGGATGATGATGATGATGATGATGATGATGATGATGAGATGAAGTAATCAGTCCCTCAGCCTGGAGTCAATGTGTTCATTCCATCAAGAGTAATGGAGTGAACATACTGACTCCAGGCTGAGGGACTGATTACCTCAAGCTACTACTCACTACCTTTCTCTGCACTGGACTGAAGAAGCCACTGGCTGACAAAACATTTCCAGAATAAAGATATCAGAATGTTGCATACATGTCTCATTTATCAACTTGTCAGTTTTCTGAATCGTTTATTCACATCAAATGACTACTTACCACACCAATCAAGTATGGGCTTCCTGCATCGCCAAGAGCATGGGAGAAGAGAATCTGGAAAGCTTCTGCTGATGACCGTCTTGTAGGAATTACAATATACTGGAGGAGAAAAAAAAAATATTAACCATTGTAGTAAACCTGCATTTTTAATTTTTGAAAAAAAAAAAAAAAAAATTCATGGGGAAAGTAACCCATAGTGGTCAAACAGCACCTGGGGAATGGGAGGCAATTAGGTCCAATCCAAGGAAGGGGAAATTAGGTCTAATTCCCTGGATCAAGAGCTCTTCACCTGCATTAAGTAACCTCCCTTTAGGGAAACTTTTGGAAAAAGTAATGCTGATTATCAAGAAAATCTGGACCAAAGCACAACATGAAAATATCAACTTTAAATTTTTTAAAAAATTATATTTACCAAGACTTTAAAAAAAATCTTTCAACTTCCTTGTAGGATGCTGTTTAAAGTTATTTTTTTGCAACATGCTGACTGTCTCCCACTGAGGCGGGTGACCCCAAGAGAGAAACTTTCACCATCATTCACACAATCTATAACACAAATAACCCGCACATAGAAGGGAGGAGCTTATGATGTTTCATTCTGACTTGGACCATTTACTAAGTCACAAAGCTCTCTCTCCCCTATGTGTGGGTTATTTGTGTATTGTTCCAATCACTGCACGTATTATGCCTTTTTGTTATTTACAATCTTTTAATATTTACAAGACATCCAGTGTGAGAGGTATAGACAAATTGTTAAATAAATTGACAAAAGCTGTTTAGAACTTCTTTTATATTTCAAAATGCAGTAAGTAAATACTAACCAAAACAATATCTGACACAACGGCCCAGTTAAGATTGAGGAAAATTTGACCAAAGAATACGACAACGTAAGAGGCAACAGTGTTCATTTCTGCCAATACCATTGCTCCCAGGATAAATGGAACGGAAACAAGCAGTCCCACACCACAGACTAGCGGATCCGCATATGGTAAGCTGTAAGTAAACGAAATATATATATACATGCACATGTATAAATCTAGGTATGGGAAGATACCAAAATTTTTCCTAATACTGATACCACCAAAATCAGCTGATACCATTACTATGGCACACCCCTAAATGAATATACCATAAATCATGTAATGTCTATCAATCTGTCAAAAATTTTTATAATGCAACCAACCAATTTCATTCACAGATCTACCACTTTTTTTTTTCTTATTCAGAGATAATTTAATGTGCCAGACATCATTCCAGATATTAAAAAAAATAAATGACCAAACATTTTACAGTAGGGCCCCACTTATACAGCAGGTTAGATTCCAGGCTACCATCAGCAAGCAGACATCGCCCGAAAGCAGAATGTCATTTTTTCCACTTATAAATGCATATAAATTCCAGATAAGTTTACACAAGCATATATTAAGTTAACAATAGAAGTAGATATTAAAAACAATAAAAAGTAAAATACACACACACTACACTCATTACTTACCTTAAAATATTTGTAGTCTTAATTTAGGAAGAGAGGTGAGCAGTACAGTGGTCCCTCGTTTTTCGTAATTAATCCGTTCCTGGAGCTGCTACTATAAATGAAATTTACGATTTGCGAATCAATTTTCCCCATAAGAAATAATGTAAACAAATTAATCCGTTCCTGACACCCAGAAGCATTAATTTTTTTACATGAAAATATACATGTAGTACATAAACAATACAATGGGAAATGATGAATGAAACATTAACAGCATAACAATTACCTTCATTGGAGATTCTTCTTAGTGTATAGGAGACTGGAGGAGGAGAGAGAGTGGATTGTTTATAGTTTGGAAGGGGAATCCCCTTCCAGCAACACCTCAGGTACCAAGTGCTTTTCTGGGGTTGCTTGTCTTCTCTGTTTCTTAATGCCACTAGGACCACCTTGAGAGTCACTGGAGTCCTGTCTCGCAAAATAACTGTGGAGAGAGCTCTGTTTCTGGCGTCTCTAACACTTCCCTAAAATGGCCCAAGACTGTCACTGTACATGTTGCCAACTTGGCTTGCAACAACCTTGTTAGGGTGATGTTTCTCCATAAAGCTTTCCATCTTTCCCCACATAGTAAAAATCTCTTTAATTTCTGAAGAAGGCACCTTCTTCCATCTCTCTTCCTCCTCCTCTGCAGCAAGATTCTGAGCTGCGATGTGTTGCTCTTCCTGCTGAAGCTCTTGCAGCTCCTCAGTGGCGAGCTCTTCGTTGTGGTCTTCCACCAATTCTTTCACATCCTCCAAACTCACATCCAACCCCATGGAACTCCCCAGTGCCACAATTGATTTTACAACAGACATAGGCTCATCAGGGTCAGTCCCAAACCCTTCAAAATCCCTCTTGTTGACACAATCTGGCCACAATTTTCTCCAGGCAGAGTTCAAAGTCCTGGTAGTCACTCCCTCCCAAGCCATATCTATAAGGGTTATGCAATGGAGGATGCTGAAGTGCTCTCTCCAAAATTCCCTTAGGGTCAAGTGAGTGTCTGTGGTCACAGTCAAGCACCTGTGAAACATTGCTTTTGTGTAGAGTTTTTTAAAAGTTTGCAATGACCTGCTGGTCCATGGCTGAGAGAGGAGTGGTATTCAGGGGCAAGAACTTTACTGTGATGAACCCAAACTCCCTCGAAAATTAGGTCATCCAAGTTTGGAGGATGAGCAGGTGCATTGTCCATTACTCGCAGGCACTTGAGATCCAATTTCTTTTCCAGGAGATACTCCTTCACACTAGGGCCAAACACTTCATTGAACCACTCGACGAAATTTCCCTCGTGACCCATGCCTTACTATTAATTTCCAAAACACACACAATTTACTCTTCATAACATTGTTTTTCCTGAGCACTCTGGGATTTTCAGAATGGTACACTAGTAATGGCTTCACTTGGAAATCCCCACTAGCATTAGCACAGAACATTAGCGTCAGCCTGTCTTTCATAGGCTTGTGTCCTGGCATTGCCTTTTCCTCTTGTGTAATGAAGGTCCTCTTTGGCATTTTCTTCCAAAAGAGGCCTGTTTCGTCACAATTGAACACTTGTTCAGGTTTCAGTCCTTCAGCCTCTATGTACTCCTGGAATTCATGCACATATTTTTCAGCCGCCTTGTGGTCCGAACTGGCAGCCTCACCATGCCTTACCACACTGTGTATGCCAGTACGGTTCTTAAATCTCTCAAACCAGCCTTTGCTGGCCTTAAATTCACTCACATCACCACTATTTGCAGGCAATTTCTTTACCAAATCTTCATGCAACTGCCTAGCCTTTTCACAAATAATCGAAGTCATAAGAGTATCTCCTGCTAATTGTTTCTCATTTATCCACACCAATAATAACTTCTCAACCTCTTCCAGTACTGGTGATCTGATTTTTGTCAGCATAGTTACTCCCTTTGCAACAACAACATCCTTGATTTCCTTTTTCTTGGCCACTATGAAACATAAGGTTGTGTAGGGTTTCTTATACATCCTGGCCAGTTCGGCCACACTTGTACCACTTTCATATTGTTCAATGATGGCTTTCTTAAATTCAATCGTATTTCTCACCTTTACCACAGGCTTGGCACTAGGAGCTTTCTTTGGAGCCATGGTAGCTTATTTAGTACTTGCAAGCACTAAAATAAATGGATTATGAAATATTTCACTGGAGCACATGAGGGGACCTTCGCTCACTGGTAAACAATGCCAGACTGGCTGCCGCCACGGCTCACGTCGTGGGTACGCGTCCAGGACGAATTACGACTCGCGAGTCAACTTATGAAAAGCAAGTCCATGTTTATACGAAAATACCCCTATGATTGGCGAAATTTACGATTGCCGGGAACTACGAAAAGCGAGGGACCACTGTATTTATTATAAGTCAGGTGTGGGAGGTATGGTAGCTAGCCAGGCCACCCCACCCACATGTAATATATGTACTATCACATTTAAAGTACCCCAGAGCAATAAAGTGTATATAGAGTACATGCATTACTTACCTTAGAATATATGAAGTCTTAATGTAGGGTGACAGGTGAGTAGTATTTATTAGTAGTAAGTCAGGTATAGGAGGTATGGTAGCCAGCCATGCCAGGCCACCCCACCCACACATAGTATATTACGCTCCAGAACAATAAAATGCACATACAGTACACTCATTAGTTATCTTAAAATATTTGTAGTCTTAATGTAGGGTGAGAGGTGAGTAAACGAGGTAAAATGAATAAACGAGAGAGAGAACAAGTAAATGAGAGGAGACTGAGTTATGTAAACAAGCAGACGAACGCATCTGGTTTTGGTTCATACCCGTAACATCTCATATTACTGTTAATTTATTCTACTGTGGGGTGTATTTATCATGTTTATGTTACGTAGCATGTTTATTATATAATTTTGAAAAAATATCAGATGGATTAATGAAAATGTTTATTTTTAAAGTAATACAGTGGACCCCCGCATAACGATTACCTCCGAATGTGACCAATTATGTAAGTGTATTTATGTAAGTGCATTTGTACGTGTATGTTTGGGGGTCTGAAATTGACTAATCTACTTCACAATATTTCTTATGGGAACAAATTCGGTCAGTACTGGCACCTGAACATACTTCTGGAGAGAAAAAATATCGTTAACCGGGGGTCCACTGTACATGACATTTAAAGCGCCTCAGAGTGATCATTATTGTGTATTATCATTATTGATATGGCGTCCTCAAGATTAATAAGATACTTTTAGTGATTTTAATGTGTACCTGCATGACAGCACAGTAAGTTTATTTAGGTACAGGTACACAAGCCTCGGTGGGAGATGGCCGACTTGTTAAAAAAAAAAAAAATGTAAATCATGAAATAACTTAAAATATTTGAAATTTTGGAAAGTTTCCAGACATAATGGAGAGATGTGGTGCTAACGGAGCTCATGGAAAATGTAAACAAATCGGGAGGGCGTGGTGACCGTATTAGAAAGTCAGGTGGGGAAGCCGTATACCGAGTTTTGGTAGTAATTTAACCCTTAAACGGTCCAAACAGATCGACGTTCAAATTCGTAGTGCTACAAAAGTAGATCTACTTTTTTTTACATATTTTCAAATATAACAAAAAAAAAAAATGTAGATAAAAGTTTTCTTTACACGTTTTCAAATGTAAAACAAAAAAGATTACATTTTTTTACGTACTTTCAGATGTTGAAAAAACGTATATATACGTTTGGACCATTTAAGGGTTAAAATGTTCATATCAGCGGGGCCCTACTGTAATGCCTACATGTGATCTGAAGTACACAAAATTGTTCTTTTTATGAACAACTAATATTACTAAATGTTAAGATGAACCAGAAATCACCAGACTGTATTAAGAGCAGTGAAACAAGTAAAAAATACAATTAAAAATTAATGATCTAGAAATATCTGGCATTTTTGCACTTTTATCCTACAAATACTAATTCCTCGCTGCAAAGACACTTAAAACTCAATTCCTGAACAATCAGGTGCAACAAATTGAGCTAATCTCAAGGAACCCTCAACACAAACAACAAAAATTTGCTTAAAAGCACATTAGCTTTTTGTGAATGCATGACATTTCACTGAATGTTGCACACAGTGAAAACAATTCAGCTAGCTGGATATTATTAATGGGGAAGAACTAAACCTGTAGGGGTTATACAGCACTTGGGTGTATGAGAAGTAATCAAATTTAAATGTTCCAATTGCTAAGATCAAGGCACCACTCTAAGGGTACTACAATTTAACAAGGCAGTTCATGCAGTGTACCTGACTCGGAGCTTCTGGCCAGCAAGAGATCCCAGAGGCACACCAATCAGACCGGCTGACATGGCAATCGCTCCAAACACAAATGCAACACTGTGGGAAGAAAACAATTATATTAAAGAAAAAGTAATTAATCCTTTACTATAAAAGAAAAACCACTGCAGAGCATAGCTTTACCTATGCTGAACTTTATCGAGTCACTTCATAAAGCGCATGTTGGCAAAAACGTTCTCTGGAAATAAAGCTTTGCTTTGTATATCATCTTTTGACCATATCTCCTAGCAAGCCTTGCCATCCAACAAGATTACTGTATTATAATACGTAACAGAATTAGTGCGCATCTGTATCTGTGCACCTCTGGTAAGACAGCCTCTTACGGCATGTATGGCATATGGAGGAAGGATTCTTTTCCACTTCCCCCCACTTTGTGAGGACAAATTTACTAGTATCCTTTTAGCTCCATCTTCCCTCAATTTACAGTTGTGGCCTCTTGTTAATACTTATCATTGTTATGAAAGGATCCTCCTATCTAATCTTTCATATTGCTCAGACCAAGTTGATAGATAAGGTACAAGTTTCTAACAACATCCACTGTGTTATCCCCCTAGGAAGCATGTCTTATAATATTTTTAACTTTAATCTATTATTTTATCTTTAGACTCGCCTGTAGTAGTCTTGCTACTCAGTCACAGTAAATTTTAGAACAGTGCAGTAGTCCTATGAATTCCTAAAGGAAATACAAGTCACACTTTCAGGTGTGGGACAAACCAGTTTTTAGTGTCCTAAGGAACAAAACCTTGTGGGTTCAGGAAAAAAAAAAAAAAAGTGGAGGACTGCATTCTGTTCATGCATGTAAATCATTGACTACAGCTTGCCCCACAACGTAACTAGTTTTAGCTACACCATTCATATTTCATGATGTATTAAATGAAAAACCTTTACAATAAGATTTACAGGTTATGTGAAATGTAAAAAATAAAAAGTGTTTTTTTCCTTATGACCACATTTTGTAGGACAGATGAATTCTCTTATTACCCTTGTATTATAGTAACTTCATAATAGGCCCATAAGAAAATTCTGTGGATTTAGATACTACTGATTCTGAGGAATTTCTGTAGTGTTCAGCTGCACCTTAAGGAACAGGTTTGGTATAACTTTTATTCTTAAATCATTATTTTCAATGTTCATAGTTTTTTTTCCCCCCTAAGTGGTACTGTCTCCAGTCTCCTTTCTCCCTCTCAGAATTTCACTCCTTTACTTTTACTGGGAACAAACTCCAGTAATTCTTTGCTCAACTATTCCAGCAGCTGTCAGAATTCAACCATCTTTGTCCATTTTTATTCTTCGCATTACTTTGGCATCATTGGTAAACAAAAACACGGGGGTTTACTTCTCCTGCAGTCATATACGTACTCCAGGAATATTGAAATGAAAACAGAACCTTGGGGTATTTCAGCACATACACAATCCTATACTCATTCTTCAACTCCAGTTTGCCAAGTAGCCAATTTCATCTAGGAAAAAAACATTTACCGGGACTTGTTCTCTAGCATTATTTTCTAACACTGATATTGTACGGAAAATTCCATGGCAAACCAAGAGCATTCTTTCAAATCTTTATTTATATTACATTAACTCATGTGAGATGACCCAGGATTCCCAGGCTGGGCGATTCTTATAACTGCTGCTCTTGGTTACAAAACACTAAATAATTACCCACCCACCCTTCCTCATGTTCATGTGTATGCTTGTGTTCATGAGGGTGTGTTCTTGTACGTTCACTTGTGTGCGTGCATGTGTCGGCAAGCTACGTAGTACACCCTAGATAGACCTGGACTGTAAACTGCAGTGCAAAGAAAAAAGTTTGAAATGCAAGATCAACTTACTCATCTTTATTGGCATTTGGATGATCCTGAATGATAACACCAAGTTGCGTGAAGATAGGTCCCCACCATGCCAGAGCACCAGCCACGAAAGTCACGCAGGTGAATGCAATTGTCGACAAGATGAAACTCTTGCTGTTGTAGAAAAATTAGTGTTAAGAACTGTAAAAATTTCATAATTTAAGTATTCCCTCCTAGGTAGTAGTTGGTAGACAGCAACCGCCCAGGGAGGTACTACCGTCCTGCCAAGTGAGTGTAAAACGAAAGCCTGTGATTGTTTTACATGATGGTAGGATTGCTGGTGTCCTTTTTTCTGTCTCATGAACATGCAAGATTTCAGGTACATCTTGCTACTTCTACTTACACTTAGGTCACACTACACATACATGTACAAGCGTATATATACATACCCCTCTGGGTTTTCTTTTATTTTCTTTCTAGTTCTTGTTCTTGTTTATTTCCTCTTATCTCCATGGGGAAGTGGAACAGAATTCTTCCTCCGTACGCCATGCGTGTTGTAAGAGGCAACTAAAATGCCGGGAGCAAGGGGCTAGTAACCCCTTCTCCTGTATATATTACTAAATGTAAAAGGAGAAACTTTTGTTTTTCCTTTTGGGCCACCCCGCCTCGGTGGGATACGGCTGATGTGTTGAAAGAAAGAAGAAGTATTCCCTATCATAAGCCTGCTGCCCTGAAAGTATGCATTCAGTATCCTTTATCTTCATAAGAGCATCACAGGGCTTAATATATTTTGTGTTCATTATAGATTAAGCAATTTAATAGGATTTTTGGGGAAAACAAAATATTTGACATTTTCATATTGTGCTAAATTTCCAATAAACTTTTTATCAATAAGTGCCATACAAGAGATTCAGTAGCGTCCCAGCCTAATGAAGTTGATTTCTACAAAGTATCAGTCATACAGTTTTGTTGAGGCAGAGACCTCGCTGTAAGAGTAGCAGATGGAAGATCAAGCCTTTATCCAGTCCTTGCACCAACCGACCCCCCACACTGGTTGTCTCCCATTGAGCCAGGGTGACCAGAAGAAAAGTTTCTGCTTTTCACATTTAGTAATTTATATGAACGGGGATTCTAACTGCTTTCTCCAGGCATTTTAGTATCACTGTCCCTCTGGCAAGACAGTGATGGTGAGTGTTTCTTCTTTTTTGGGTCACCCTACCTGGGTGGGAGACATCCAGTTTCTCGGAGAAAAAAAAAATGGGGACAACCACAGATCCTGTGGTACTCTAGTGACAATATTTTCCTCTTACCAGTGTTTGCATTTCTCTCCTCAAACAAAATCTTTCATCAACTTTGAACCTGCCATGACAAATAATTGCTCAACAAGTGTTGATATATTATAGCCCATTCAGTGTTAGATCACAGTTCCCAAAGAACTTTTCCTTGGAAGAGGATGGTAGCTTCAATTCTTTGGATCAAGATCCCTTTACCAGCATCAAGGTAACCCCTTTGAAGGGTCCAACTGTTTAGGAGCTTCTTATTGCATGTTATATACAGGTATTACATTCTACAGGTTCTCTGGCGATCTTTCCTTTCTACCTCAATAATGTGAAGTTCTGGGGAGAACTAACCCTGCAGCCAGGTCCTAGACCAGGCCTCCTAGTTGACATGCTCAATCACATAGGCACCACAGGAATTGACAAACTTAAGTTTCTCAAGTTAATGCCTATGTTACCAATACTCTAAATTCTCATCCTCTCAAAATTTCACTATCTGTACAAAAAGTTACTTACTATTCTATTACCTAAGTTAGCTTTGATAATATCCTTGCCCCTTCCTTTGAAGTTCTTCTCTAGCACTCGAGTCTGGTTAACCGGTTTCCCTGAATCCCTTCATAAATGTTACCTTGCTCACACTCCAAGAGCAAGTCATAAAACTCTCTTGCCTCCATTCACTCACTGCTAACATATTCACACATGCCTGTTGGATGTCTAAGCCCCTTACCAACTCTTGTGCAATTTCCAGGCCTAATTTTTCTACTTCATAAATTTTAGGAAAGTAACAAATTTGTTACTAACTTGGTAAAGAGGTATATGAGGTCACTGATAAATGAGGTAGGTTGCAGGTGCTGCCCGCCTTCACTCTCCCCCCGAGGAGGTTCTCGCAGCATGAACAGAATCAGCAGCAGTGCAATGAAACCCATCACTGGGGTGACACGCAGGCCCCAGCGCCATGCTTCTGAATCCCCACTGTTTCCCACTAGCTTGGTTACTTCTGCACCAATAATGTAACCAAGCCCACTGTAAAAGACAAACATACATTTAATACAGTACTCTAGTGTTTGGGTCACCAACATTAATTCCCCAAATAAAATAAATATACCTAGTTATGCAAATTCTTAATGTAGTTAAATTACACTTTTTATTTCATTCTTAGCAAAGATAATTTAGGTTGTTAGGTTAGTTTTGTTGCAAAACAAACACTTGGTATAAAAAAAATTGTTATAACTAGTGTATACAAGTGTTTTATCCTAGAAGACAATTTAATTTTTTATGTGGTTCACACTTCTACTGTACAGTAATATACACAACATTTGTAATGCTTTACAACAAAATTTAAAAAATATTAGCTTGATTTTATGCTTTTTGTATGAACACTGAATACAGAACTGTACTGTATTATAATTTAGATAATAGTATTATATGATGCTTAATAATAACCCACGTGGGGACAAACGGGCCACGAGCTGTGACTCGACCCTTGCAGCCACAACTAGGCGAGTACAGGAGGTTGCTCAATCTGTATTTTTCGACCCCCTTCTGGAGGTTCCTCTTCAGCAGATACATAAGTGAAAGGAGAACATAAAAATTTATAGGAAAATTTGCACCTATCATCATGTGGAGGAGTAGGGCATCTATTATATGTTTATTACAGTCAGGAGTAAATGAATATACCTGAAGAATAAAACAAACATTTTGCTTAGGAACAAACCTGCCAACAGGGATAGCAAAGTAGAAGACAGCCAACATCTTGGAACGCAGATCTTTCACGAAGAGATCAGAGATAATGGTGGGAGCAATGGTTGAATAACTCGCCTCTCCAACTCCCACTAAACACCGAAATATGAGGAACAGTTCGTACGTCTGAAAATTTTGAAAAGTTAAGAAAAGTATGTATCAATACTGATACATACTTTTCTATATAATATACAGTGTGGTATTTTTAAATGCTGTACATTACATTTGTAAAGTGCTATATATTTATAAAATGCTATAACAAATTTTGTAATTTGTACAGAAATGTAATATATAAAATATATTTAAAAATTTACATATATTTTTTTAACATGCAAACTTACCGACTAGGGGAACCG